GACTTTGATGTGAAAGAGTCTGTGAATACGTATAAAACTATTATTGATTTAAACGCTAAGAATATTACGGCCGCCGAAGAGCAAGAGCTGATCCAATTGGCCAAAGAAGCCAATGAATTGCATTGTAAATTTTATAAAACTATGTAACTTTAGTTGGTTTTGTTGACAATTAATTTGTGAGTTTGTAGATTAAAAATGTAATATTGGTATTTATAATTTGAGTTATTAATATTAATTTATTGTAATCTACCAATAATATAAATAAATTGTCGTTTAAAATTTATTGATTCAATATAGATTTTACTAATATCGTATGTAATATTTTTAGTATAATTATTATACCATAGTAGCCACTATACTATAAAATAGTGTCACTGTATTATAGTAGTTAAGATGTTGTCATATCCACATATGATCTATGCTTTCAGGACTTTTTTGTAGTAATTTATTATATTTATATCTACTAGTTTACAGAACCCCCATCGCGTGCCCGCCCCTAACCCCCACTTTGTTATTATCTAACCAAACATAATATAACTATACATTAATGTTAACCCCATTTGGGAGGCGTGGAGGCGGGACAATACATACTGTAATTGCAATATAATAATGTTCGTTCAACAATCTAACCCGTGCGCGCGCTCACAATTTTTGGTATTTTAATTTAAATAAATTAAATTAATTTTATTGTTGCGGCAGGGCGAGCTAATTTGCATATTCATTTGTTGCCAGATGTTTACCAACAAAAATCAATTATTATATTAATTATATTTTATTGTAAAATATTTATATAACTTTTAATGTAATTTATATTTGAAAATAAAGCCCTCAATTAAAAATAGGACAAAAATTAACGATATGGTCTGCTTTTAAATGAATATTAATTTATTATTATGGTAATATTTGTTAACCAGTGTAATAAATACATGCTTACACTGTTTAGGTTTAACGTTTCTGTAAGTAGTTAATAGTAATTTTATTAACTAGTAAATTATATATAAATTAAATCCAAATAATTAATTAAATGTTAACATTTGTACAAAAGTGTTGTTTACTAAATATAAATGTATTTTTTAGCCGGAAATAACACACGAATCTAATGAAAGTGCGATGAGTACTGTGTCTGCGGTAGACTTGCAACTTTTCGTATTTTTCAATTCCCTTCCCTTCAATGATGAAAAGAGGGAATCCCTTCATTTGCAGAGAAGAGGGAATCCCTTCCCTTCATTTCCCTCTTCCCTTCACATTCCCTTCAAATACTGTGTATTGGGTTTATAATACACACGTATATTATATACAGCAAAATATACTGCTTTATAGACAATAATATACAGTTTTTATACATTTATTAAACAAATTTGGCACAAAAACAATACTTTATTTGTAACTGGATTTCATTTTAAGAGAGATTCCCTTCAATTTCCCTTCTATTCAATTTATTTTCAGTTCCCTTTCCCATCATTTCCCTCAGAGGGAAAGGGAAATTAAAGGGAATCCCTTCATGAAGGGATTCCCTCTTGCAAGTCTAGTCTGCGGATCAAGTAATGTTTTAACTGACTTAAGGCACACAAGTCCTATGTTCACTGATGGGCACATATATCCTGTTTCTATTAATTTTTCCAAAAGTTTTGTTTCTAATGATTGGCACATAAATACTGTTTCAATGGATCGCCAGATAAATACTTTTTTCAAACAACATTTTTTCAAAAACTACTGGTATATAACATGTTCAAATTTACATTTTGTTAAAAATTTACAAACAGTTAATTATGTGTTTGTTACTGTAATTTAAGTGCTGTCTCTACAGATCAAAGATTACAGAAAAATGTTTTTAACTGAGTAAATAAAATAAAATAAATTATAAATAATCAATAGTTAAATTTTAATTTTTATATAATAATTGTATAATAATTTAAATTTATAATATACTGTAAATAAGGTTATTATAAAGCCTTCTTATTAAGTATTTTTCTAATTACATTAAATTAATTTTTAATTTATGAAAAACATATGTTAACAAATATGGCATAAAATTTAATTAAATTTATTAAAAATGAAAAAGTAGTTAAGTTACTATAAAGTAATAGTTGTTCAATTGACTCAAACCAAGTGGACATTTTGCTCAAGATGTTTGACATAAAGTATATAATATTGTTTTTCTTAATAAACATGGTCAAAACTGAACCAAACTTTAACAAAAACATCAGGTAAATATATAACACGGTCAGACATTTAATGTTAGTGGCATTTTAAACCATTATTGTTCATTAATTATAACCATGTTTATTAATAAGTATTGTGATCAAAATATTATTTTTAAACTTGATAACTAACAATAGCCTAATCTGACTATTAGTGTAAGTAATAACGGTTTTGTCAAACAATTGAGTGATCGAGTGATTGATACGCTGGTCGACTATATGGCGACGATGTTTACAAAGGATTACGTCCAGAAGATACTAATGACGGGTGAAATGAGTGATCAAAACATGCGCTTCGGTTGGATATTCGCTAAGAGAACCAAAGCTATCTATAGAGGTGAGTCATACCATCTATATGGGTGAGTATTATATCATGTTCTCAAAAACCCTGACATAATTTTACTTATTTGTATTAATGATGTACATAATATAAGTGTTAATAATCACCTTGTTATATAGTCAGACTAGACAAATTCGCCATCTTTCTTACTTTGAGTGGCTGCGACAAGGTTTTGTTTTACACTGGTAATTGTATTAAAACAATAAGATAAATAAATAATTGTTTGAATTCATATATGAAGGACTGAGAGCAGAATAAACGTCCAGTTTTAATGTTGTCTTTACTGCTATGTCTATTGTATTTGCAATTGCAGTCCATAATAGACATAGCAGTAAATACAACATTAAAACTGGACGTTTATTCTGCTCTCAGTCCCTCATACAAGAGGTTGGAGAGGTAATATTATAATTTATAAATTTGACAAAATACGTTATATTAATGATTGAGATTTTGTGGCCGAATCGGCCACCAGTATAATAACCACGTCATAGTAAAATTACTTTTTCTCTAATTTATCTCATTCATGGTTATATTATACAGTATATAAAGCATTACATTATGTTGCATTGCAATATACAACCCCAAATAGTCACTATAATAATTATGAAAAACTGCCAAAATATTACTAGTTACTTATAACTACTTATAGTTACTCATAATTTGACAAAATAGTCTTAAAAATAATATAAAGTGTTACAAAATGCCAGTTTCACTCTTTAATACATTAGATATAACTGTGGTCATTTTGGTCAAAATCCTGAATACATACAACGCATAATTTTTGTCATACCATAGCTTTAAATGATAAAGTATTGCAATATTTTATTATAACCTTTACTTTTGTCATAGTTTACTTTGTTTAAATTTTTTGCTAACTACCAAATGTAATTTATGCTATGATTGACTTTGTGTTTAATACGAAAATATACCAACAATTTGACAAATGTATCAAATAGTTACGTAACGTTACGTAACGTAATAAACGTTCAAATAGTTAAATATGTGTAAAAGTAAAATGAATTATTACTTAGAATTTTTATTTCAATTATATGTGAAAATTATTCATTTGAATTTTAGGCTAAATTTAAAATAAGTTAATCCTATTTTCAATACCAGAATTTTAAACACAAACACTGCCTTTTCACATAAGTTATGCCATTTACTAAAACTATGAAGCTATAAAGCGTATGCAAGTGGTCTAGAAATATGACCATAACTTCGGTGTTTCTGGCCATTTGCACGTTTTGACGATTGTTTATGAATCTCCATACAATACTGGACATGACCATATCTATAGATTCTATACCTCCCCTGAGAACACTTTTAGACCCTAGCCCTCACTTTAATTAGTTATGCCCTTTATAATATTCATATGTGTATTAAAGTACATTATAAATGACGAATATATAATGTGCTTGTATTTGTCATTTATAATGTACTTCAATACACATATGAATATTATAAAGGGCATAACTAATTAAAGTGAGGGTTAGGGTCTAAAAGTGTTCTCGGGGGAGGTATAGGATCTAAAACCATATCAATCACGTCTGGATGAGCTACAGGACATTCACTGTATTCCCTTTTAAGTTTATAATATTCCCAAACCTCTTTAACCTCCTGTATATCCGCATATAAATTCAAACAATTAGTTATCTATGTTATTGTTTTAATTAAATTACCAGTCTAAAACAAAACCTTGTCGCAGCCAATCAAGGTAAGAACAATGGCAACTTTGTCTAGACTAATTATATAATGTAGTATGGCAATATTATATGTATAGACAGGCAAAAAATGCTTTCTTAATGCTTTAGTCACAGAAAAAAAATTAACTTTAGATAAAAGTAATACTTGATTCATTGCTTTGAACACAATTTAATATCAATTTTTATTTTGTACAAAAAATTACTTTTTTCAGTGCAAAAGCATCACAGCAGCATTTTTTGCCTGTCTATAATTATATGATATAAGTACGTATTATATAATAGTTTATAGTTAATAGGATATTATAGTTTAAATATATGCAAAGCCTAGTTAGACCTTTATAATTCAGATAATTCAGGTAGTTTTTGAAGTAATTTACTGTCTTTTTTATTATATAGTTACAGTAATTACAGTAAATAGAAGTAGGACAGTATAAGTATAAAATATAATATATGTAAAATATAAGTTTAACCAAGTACTTTGATTAATACATTAATACTTTACTGTATAGCTCGTATTGAGTTAGTAAGATTGTGCCTAACGTTGGCCAGGGATGATAAAACTCGTCAACTACTCAAAGCAATGGACAGTGTATTTGCCTCAAAAGGAGCCTTATTTTACCAAAACTTTGAGCAACAATTGGGTGCCGTTGGGGGTGATGTCAAGGGCCGGGCGATGGACAAGACGGACATTGGCTATCATCTAATGATTTACCGCGAAATGAAACGTGGTTCATTGGTACGCATGATATTACTAAATATGGTGCCCGATTGGCGTGCACTACACGTATGGGAATATCTCAAAAGTCAGCCCCAGTATCGGCCCAGTCCTCTGTCCGACAAATTGTTGCAATTGGACTTAGATGTGAAAGAGTCTGTGAATACGTATAAAACTATTATTGATTTAAACGCTAAGAATATTACGGCCGCTGAAGAGCAAGAGCTGATCCAATTGGCCAAAGAAGCCAATGAATTGCATTGTAAATTTACATGTGGTGCAGATTGATCTGTAGATAAATAAATGCAATAGTTATCATTTTAAAAATAGCTGCTTTTTGTATTTTATTTTAATTTATTGTAATATTTAATAGTGATTGACCAATCAGGTAAGTAAATTGAAGTTTAAAATATATTGCTTTATTATTTTAATTACTCTTTTTAACATTTTACTAATATTTAACTTGGTAATAAAAAATATTTTCATTAATTATGTAACAAATTATATTATGATGTTTTTAATAAAATAAGCTAAATGAGATTCATTATAAAATCATTGGTATTTATATTTAATTTCGAATTACAGTATATCTCCTTTACAATTGACAACATGAAAAGGGACAAAAATAAACAGCGTTACAATAGGTATTAGGCTACAATAGGGGGTGGGAGGGTAGTAGAGGAGATAGAATGATGCAATGGGTAACAGACTTAGTGGCTGGTGGCTAGTACTTTATATGATAAAACATAAATTATGTAAAATTGTAATGACAACTTCCTGTATAAGTAAACGTAAAATTATGAAATATAATAATTTAATTAATTTATAATAAAAAGCTGTTAACAAATACGGATTAATAGATAATTAAAAATGGACGTTATATGAGTCAGTTAATTAAATCAACCTAACTGGTCTCTTTATTAAAAATGTTTATAATAAAGTATATTTTACTATACTTCACGATCAGTACTGGTCAAAACTGACAATCAAAACAGGTAAATTTAACATGTTAAAATGTGCATTTTGAATTATATTTTAACTTAAATTTGATTTATTTTATTAATTTATGTTTTTTAATTGTATTAAACAATTGGCCCACACATCATGGCCATAATGATGGACACATACAAGTAAGTCCTGTCTCTACCAATACTGGCAAACATTACAGGTAAATATATAACATATTTAAATTTGCATTTTAAAAATATTTAAACAGTATATTTATATTTACTAATAAATTTTGAAAATTACATATTCTTAAAGTCCTAACCCCACCAACAATTGGAACATGAATTCTATGCCTTCGGGCAAACAATTAAGTGATCGAGTATTGGAAGCGTTGGGCGACTCTATGGCGAAGTTGTTTACCACGGATTACGTGCAGAAGATACTAATGTTCGGTGAAATGAGTGATCAAAACATACGGTTTGGTCGCCGAGTATTGAAACGAATCAAAGACACGACTGCCAGTGAGTACTCATGACAGACATGTTTATATCATTATAATTGTATTGTAAAAGTATATATAAAGTACCGAATGTTTATCATGTTTACAGTGAGAACAACTGTTCTATAAGAATATCATTGATATGAATGGTGAGAGTATATCGGCCACCAATGAGCACGACTTAGTCGAATTGACCAAAGAGGCCATGGTGTTTTATAAAGTGCCCAAGAAGTTTTGTTTCCAATGATTGCCGCATAAGTATTGTCTCAACGTATCGTCCGATAAATACTGTCTTTGACAATCTCCCAATAAATACTGACCAACACTTTGACAAATACTCCCGGTATATAACATGTTCAAACTTACATTTTGGGTAATATTATAATAATTAATGCATGTTTGTTACTGTAATTTAAGCTTTGTTTCTACAGCTCCACTCATTGCCACTGTGTCTGCAGACACTCCGATAAGTAATGTTTTCATTGATCGCACCAAAAGTCCCGGGGGTTTACTGATTGGGACTTAAAGACTGTGTTTACTGAACAGCACTGTACCGGCCCAGCCCTCTGTCCGACAAAATTTTATGTTTGGACTTTGATGTGAAAGAGTCTGTGAATACGTATAAAACTATTATTGATTTAAACGCTAAGAATATTACGGCCGCCGAAGAGCAAGAGCTGATCCAATTGGCCAAAGAAGCCAATGAATTGCATTGTACATTGTACATTTTATAAAACAAACAAATAAAACGATTACATTTTACTAATATTGTATTTATAATTTTTAGTATAATCATTACAACATAGTGGCCACTATACTAATTTACATAGAGTATAGTATAACTGTAAATATTAAAATACTTTACAATACACTGTATTATAGTGGTAAAGCAGTTGGTCATGCCCTCATATGATTTATGCTTTTATATAGCTTTTAATGTAATTTATATTTGAGAATAAATACGTCAATTAAAAGTCAAACCAAAAGTAAAGATCAGGTCTGCTTTTAAATGAATGTTAATTTATAATTATGGTAATATGTGTTAACCATTGTAATAATTGCTCAATACGAACCTTTCGAAAGGACTTAGTTAAAGGACTTTCTTGCTTAATGTTGATTGGCCAATGTATCATTTCACACTTTTTGATTGACTTTAACATTGGCGCATAATATGAATTAAAAACGGTTCGTATTTAGTAGTAATAATACATGTTTACACTGTTTAAGTTTAAAGTTTTGTAAATAGTTAATAGTAATTTTATTAATTAGTAAATTATATATAAATTAGATGCAAAAATTAATTAATTGTTAACATTTGTACAAAAGTGTATTTATTTATATAATTTTGTAATAAAAAATATTTTCATTGATTATGTAACAATATTTAATAATGAAACAAATTATAATATAATGTTTTTAACAAAGTAAATGAAATAAGATTAATTATAAGATCATTGGTATTTATATTTAATTATATATTTTATACTGTATATAATTTTGTTTCAAAGCAAAACTAATAAAATGTAACATATAATTTAAGATACAGTCTATTACAGTACATACAGTATAATGTACTTTATATTACGGTTTATATGTTGTAATGCGGTTTAATATATGCTTTTTTGTAAATGAATTATTTTATTGTTTTCAATTGATTATTGTGTTCACTATTGGCCTAAAATATTCATTGATTATTACTTTTAATTTATTTGTGTCCAAATCGCATATAAATGTCTGTCCAACCGATGTCTGGCCACCCGTACGGCAGCACATATTAGACAATG